TTTTTTTTTGTTTTTTTTTTTTAATAAAAGGGTAATTTAGTATTTTAGGGGTGCGGTACGTAGTAAAATGGGTGCGTATTTAGCAATTCAAAAGTATTTTTGTCGTTAGTTTTTCTAAAAAAAATGTCTAAATAAGCATTAAAAAATAAAGAAGGGGAGAAAACGAGGAAGGATAATTATAACAGACCTCACACGACTCCTGAGAGGGCAAGACAAAACCACACTAAATCGTGTAGCAAGGAAGAAAATTGGCTCTGCGTTTTCAAATTACACGTGTGAAATAGAAAACATCAAATATCCTTTCGAAGTAGTTGAGAACTATTCAAGCCTATCTAACAAAATAGTAATTGACTTATGTAAATGGTCATGAAAACTTTTGATAAATTAAAGGTCAACAAACGGAATAGTTGAAGCCGAGTTGTGACTAATCGATTTTGACTTGAAAAGAATTATAAGAGGTCTCAAAGATTTGTTCACGATGAACAAGTAGGAAGATTGTAAATGATAGATAATTCAACTTCAGATAATGTAAATTAACTTTTAACTATGGTCCATACTCCACAAAAACAACATTTTCATCTACTTTCTACTAATTAAATAATTATTTCAAATATATTTACACTCACTTGACTAACAGCTGCACAACATATTTTATGCAGTTTTACTGTCATTTGTCTGTCAGCCATGAAAATCAATTTGTGCTTATAACATGGCCACGAAATTGAAAAATGCCTTGATTTATTAAAGATTTTATTGTTCTATTTTTAATTTCAAATGTCTGAATCATACAGTGGCCATGCAATTATGCAAACTACTGTTTCAAGACGCGGTTTCCTCTTAACATAGGTGGTTAAATAAAATAAGTGCACCCAAGTGATCATTAGTATACTTTCGGTTAAATGAGGTTTTAATTATGCCAAATTTATAAATCTAATTATTACAATAAAGGGATGAGGTAATGAGTGACAAAAAGATATATAAAAACGTGTATATTATTTTAAAGTCAATCTCATATTCTTTTATGTTAATGTATCATGATTATTCTCACTTGTTTCACTTTTTTTTGGTACAATGAACCTTCCGGTTTCCGAATCCCCTAGAGGACCGACTAATCCGGAATCGAGCCGGGTAGGACCACAAGGGCGGCAAAGCTCTACCTCAAGAGTTTTAACACAGCTGCATTCCCAGGGCTCGAACTCGAGACCTCTGGTTAAGCTGGGAGAGACCCCAACCATCTCACCCACGTACTCTTGGGTTTGTTTCACTTTAGTGAACGTAAAAGTACATTCATGTACATCTTTATATTGACACATGTCTTAACTCTATTTATTTTAGAATATATGTGAGTTTACCCTTTACGGACAATTTATAATGTATCTCCATAACAAAATTGTATTAACAAAACTAAATGAAAACGAAAAAATTAAACCGCCAACCTGTAATTCCTATTTATTTTTTACTAGTGCGTGGCCCGTGCGATGCACGGGAAAATAATATTTTGATTGTATTATAAATTGAATAAATAAATAACATTAATTATGATTTACCCATTATTTTTAAATTAAACCGGTTTGGACACAGTATGACCGGATGGACCGAGAACCGGTTTATAATCAGTCTAGTGCGCTTGAATAAAATATTTGCTATCGAATCTTTCAACATCAGTCTGTTGGACTGGTAGGATCAAAACGATTTTCTAAACAAATTTTGTTACATTAAAAATAATTTTAAATAAAATTACATATTTAAATAAAATAGAGATTTATAAATTATTTATCAATTAATTTAAACATTTGAATTTATAAATTGTTTATATATTTAAGTAACACTTTTTATTTAAATTAATTATAAAAAGTACTGTATATATATATATATATATATATATATATATATATATATATATATATATGTATTATGTATTAAAATTTGAGCAACCACAAATGATTTAATAAAATAACTTGATCGTTTCGATGACGGTCCGGTTCTGAAAACCTTATATTTACCGTACATTAATAAAAAAATATAATAAAATAATTATTTCGTTCACATAAATAATAATGAAATGATATATAAATATTCATAAATCATTAATCATGTTGTCATAAAAGTATTGTTAATATGATTATTTAAAGTTTGGACTGCATCACATTCACGTAATAAAGTATTTTCAATATTAATATTTATATTTAGGTTCAATCATCGATTTGGTCTGGTCAAACTGATACATAAATTAGTTACCTGGGACCAACCAAGTTGTTTCAAAGTTTTTTGACTATTTTAAATATCACCTATAAGTAATTCAATCAACGTGGGCAGTACTCTAATTCAATCACCCGATTGATCCAAAGTAATTTCCTTATTTTCTTTAAATATAATATTTAATTTTATGAAATAAAAAATTTTTATGATTCATATGTCTACACCAAATGATAGTATATTAAGACTGTAAATTATATATCTAAAGATGAATTATTTATTTTTATTTTATGCATATTAATAAAAAAAAATAGTAATTTTTTTAAAAAAAATCAGATTAATTGATTGGGTATGCAATTTAAAGAATATTTTTAGCGTTCAATATATATATATAAATATATATATATATATATATAT